GCCTGCCGCAGTGCGCAGCACTTGGGTGCCACCCTTGCGAATAGTGGGCAAGGGCACATCTGGAGAACGCGGGCTTAGAATCAGATGCAGATCGTACCGCTGAGAAGATTGCCTAATCAACACGAATGGTTGGTTGATATGCTTGAAAAATTCTATGCGGTATTTCGTCCGCGACTTGAAAAACTAATGATGGGGGTTTAGGTCTTAGCGTTCAGTGAGCAATTGAAGCGCAAATCCCGTATGTAATTTTTTCTGGACAAATAGTTTTACTGTTTTTCGGTTGTTTTTCAAAAGCAGTCGAGTTCGTAGTTGCGCAATTCATTGCGCTTTGCGTAAGTCCGAACATGTCTTAACTTTACTGATTTTTGGTCCGAATAAACGGGGGTACTTCGTATGTTCAATCAATTTTTCAATTACTTTTTATCTTTTGTATTCCTTTTATGATTATTGGTTGTAGCACAATTTTTTCAGCTCAGGAATGGAGTGATAACTACGCGCTAATGGATGGAGTGCAATCAACAAGTCCGCAAATGGCTGATGGAAATCTTGAAACTATAGGAGCAGCAGCGTTTACATCAGATAACACAATGTATGCATTAAATAATAAAGGAGATTTTGTCCGAAATGATTCTATAGCGGTCGTTTCATTACCAGAAAAGAAGAAAATTTATAGGATTACACTTCACTCGGATAATTTAAAACATTTTGTTGTATACGTGGATAAAGGTAAAAGAACAAAAAGTGAAGATTGGCATCGTATTATAGAGATGCGAGATGTAATATCGAAAAAAATTGATCTCAAACTTAAGATGCCCTATTATACGCATCAGATTAAGATTCGTATATTGAAGACTCATCCACAAGTTCAAAAATATGGAATAGCCACAATGGGATCTGGAAGGCTTGATAGAACAATATTTACCAAATCGTAGACCTATTCATTTACCGGGCAGAATACGGGAAATTGAGATTTATGGTTTTAAAACTACAGAATAGTTATGAACAGTATTAAGAGAAATAACATATATAGCCCCAGTAGGTGCGGTTTCCTAACCAATGCAGTGAAGTGCCAACGTTAATTTAGACCAAAAATTAGAAAAGTTAAGACAAGTTTTGTTGGTCAAATTCAAGAGGTGTCAAATAGCCTAACGTCGAGTGTGGACGTTTCTGGTGATACACTTGTGTGATAAAATGACCGATACGCGCTTTAGCCTCCATTATATCATCATAGTCATTGAGGTGAACCTCTTCCTCCTTGAGAGTTAGGAGGGGTTTTCAACTCGGCTAGAGCAGCGATGATTTGACATGAGGACATCTTAAAATCCGCGTCATCCGTGTAATCCGCATAATCCGCGATTCAGACAAAAAGGTGTTAGAATTATGAGGCATTATCCTGAATATAAAGAGAGCGGCGTGGAGTGGATTGGCGAGATACCGAAGCCTTGGAAAATAAAACGCTTGAAATACATCGCGGATTTAAACATGGGGCAATCACCACCTTCGGAAGAATACAACAGCGATCAGATAGGAACGCCTTTTCTTCAAGGCAACGCCGATTTTGGACTGCATCATCCGACACCGAAAATCTATTGCCCAACAGCAAAGAAACACGCGAACCCTGGTGATATTTTGCTATCAGTCCGCGCACCTGTCGGGGCAATCAACATCGCAAATCAAGAATACGGGATTGGTCGCGGTTTATGTGCAATACGCCCTCGAACGAATCAATTTGAACGCCGTTATGCTAAGTATTTGCTTGAGGTTGTCCGTACCGAGTTACATGTCATTGCGACTGGCAGCACTTACGAGGCTGTTACAGTAGATGAGGTTTCTAACCTCACTTGCATTGTGCCACGCCTCTCTGAGCAGATCCAAATAGCTAACTTCCTTGACCGGAAGACGGGACAGATTGACGAGCTCATCCGCATCAAAGAACGACGGATAGAACTGCTGCAAGCACAACGCACCGCACTGATAAATCAGGCAGTGACAAAGGGGCTTGACCCGAATGTGGAGATGAAACCGTCGGGGGTGGAGTGGATTGGGGAGATACCGAGGCACTGGAATCTGTCTATGTTGAAGTATACAGCTCGTTTAGTTTATGGTGATACTTTAATTTCCGAAAATAGGCAGAACGGTGTCGTGCCTGTATATGGATCTAATGGCATTATTGACACTCATTCTTCAGCAAACACCTTATCACCCGGAATTATTGTTGGACGTAAAGGTTCTCTGGGTAAAATACAATATTCTGATGTTCCCTGTTTTGTTATTGATACGGCATACTTTATTGACAGATGTACTTCTACATGTAAACCTCCGTTGGCTATACTATGTCCTTCAAGCCCTTAAACTGGAAAGGTTTCGGAATAGTGTGCTTCCAGGTCTGAATCGTGAGTCCGCAGAAGGTCAATATGTCCCTCTAATCACGGCAGAGGAACAAACCCAAATCGCCAACTTCCTTGACCACAAAACCGAACAGATTGACGAACTGATATCCACGGAGCATCGAAAGATCGAACTCCTCAAAGAATACCGTCAATCCCTTATCTCCGAAGCAGTGACCGGCAAAATAGATGTCCGAAACGAGGTGTAGACTCTATTTTTTTATTTTCTGAGTCGGCGTGCGATAAATATCGCGTTGATTTTTCGGTATTCCTATGCTATACTTGTGAAACACGTTTTTTCATCTATTGAAAGTATAGGCAGCTATGCCCAAAACACAGGATATTCAGATAGAACACTTCCCTGACCGGAGCCTCAGGCGATTGCTCCAAGACGGTGAATATGTGAGGTGGTTAGTCCAAATCATCGCCCCGGACATTGAGGCGTTCCTCGACTTCAACCGGATCATATACAAGGAAAGGAGTTTTATTTCTGAGGCACTGCAAGAACGCGAGTCGGATGTGCTACTGAGTGTCCCGTTTGAAAAAGACGCAGATGTTGTAGATACCGATGCTTGCTCATCTATATCCTCATTGAACATCAATCTACTGTGGATAAAACGATGGGGTTTCGGTTGTTATCTTACATGGTCCAAATCTGGGAGTCGCAACGGCGGGAGTGGGAAACGGAGAAGATTCCACAAAGTGAAAGACGTTTACAGCCGATCCTGCCGGTTCTGTTTTATACAGGCGACGCGCCCTGGACGGTGCCGGTGTCCCTGACGACGATAATGGATGTTCCTGAAATTTTGGCGCGTTTCGTCCCAAGTTTTGACACGCTGTTTTTAGGGGTCAAGGAGACTGAGACAGATGTTCTGACGCAATCCGGACATCCGTTAGGCTGGTTGTTGCGTGTGCTTCAAAAGGAGCATTCGGACAAAACAGAGATAAGTGAAGCATTGGCGGATGCTGTATCACATTTAGCGTCAGTGGATGAAAACTTTGCCCCGCAAGTTGCGGAGGCACTCCGCTATTTTGTGCAGTTGATATTCCACCGGCGTTCTCTTGAGGAGCGCGATGCGTTAGTAGGTATTATCAGACAACATATTCACGATCATAAGGAGTTAGAAAACATGGCACAGACAACGGCTGAGTTTCTTATAGAACAAGGTAAAGCAGAAGGTAAAGCAGAAGGTAAAGCAGAAGGTAAAGCGGAAGGTAAAGTGGAAGGTAAACAGGACGCGGCACTCAAACTCTTGGAGCTCCGATTTCAAAACGTGCCAGAAACGCTCTCCCGCGAAATCAGCAATATCCACAACCACAAGCATCTGGATATTCTCTTAGAGCAAGCAATGACAGCACAAAGTTTAGAAGAGATTGATACGCATTTCTCCTAAAAGTTTCCCTGATACGGGGACTTTAGGGTGGTAAAATACCCAACCAACTCAAATCGCCAACTCCCTCGCCCTCAGACGACATATTCACGATCATAAGGAGTTAGAAAACATGGCACAGACAACGGCTGAGTTTCTTATAGAAACAAGGTAAAGCAGAAGGTAAAGCAGAAGGTAAACGGGATGCAGTCCTCAAACTCCTGCAGCTCCGATTTCAGCACGTGCCAGAAACGCTCTCTCGCGAAATCAGCAATATCCACAACCACATACAGTTGGATATTCTCTTAGAGCAAGCAATGACAGCACAAAGTTTAGAAGAGATTGATACGCATTTCTCCTAAAAGTTTCCCTGATAAGGGGACTTTAGGGTGGTAAAATACCCAAACAAACTCAAATCGCCAACTCCCTCGCCCGTAAAACCAAACATGATAGCCGCAGAGCAGCGAAAGATCGAACGCCTCAAAGAATACCGTCAATCCCTCATCTCCGAGGTAGTGACCGGCAAGATAGATGTCCGAAACGAGGGTTAGCCCATGCCGAGGTATACGGAAACAGATTTTGAAGATCACATCGAAGGATACCTGAATCAGTCTGGCTACCGGTCGCTACAATCCACTGACTATGATAAATCCCTCTGCTTAATACCCAATGAGACGCTGAAGTTTATTCAGGACACGCAACCGGAAGAATATCAGAAACTGGAACGTCAGCATGGGGAAGACACACCCCAAAAACTCACGCTCCGTATCAGCAACCAGATTAAGAGTCGAGGTGTGCTGGACGTGCTGCGGAAAGGCGTTAAGGATCGGGGCTGTTCCTTTGATTTGACCTACTTCCAGCCGTCAAGTGGCATGAACCCCACCCATAAAAAACTTTACAATCAGAACCGATTCTCCCTCATTAGACAACTGCATTACTCACAGCGAAACGAAAAATCGCTCGATATGACGTTGTTCCTCAACGGTCTGCCGTTAGTGACAATGGAACTGAAGAATAGCCTCACTGGACAGACGGTGACGGATGCAGAGAAACAGTACGCACAGACCGAGATCCGAGAGAGCCGTTGTTCCAATTCAAGCGATGTCTGGTTCACTTCGCCGTGGGCAACGAGAAAGTTTCGATGACAACCCAATTGCAGGGTGGCAAGACACGCTTCTTTCCGTTTAACAAGGACATCGAAAACCCTGTGAATCCGGACGGTCACAAAACCGCCTACCTATGGGAGGACATCCTACAGCCCGATAACCTCATGGAGTTAATCAACAACTTTATCCATGAGCAGGAGACCACAGAAAAGGTCTACGATCCCCGAATCGGCGGGGTAAAAGATGTGAAGCACCGCGTGCTCGTTTTCCCGCGATACCATCAGCTGGATGTAATCCGTAAATTGAAAGCGGCTATCGTAGAAGCAAAAGGTGTCGGGCATAACTACCTCATCCAACACACCACCGGGAGCGGCAAATCGAATTCCATCGCATGGTTGGCGCACCTACTGACCCATCTGTACCGCTCCCCGACTGATACAAATCGGATTTTCGCTTCTATAATTGTCGTGACAGATCGGCGCGTGCTTGACAAGCAGCTGCAGGAGACAATCAAGCAGGTGGCACAGGTTGACGGCGTGGTGCATCCCGTTGATGAAACTTCGGCACAACTCAGGGGTTACCTCGAATCCGGCAAAGACATCATCATCTCGACGATTCAGAAGTTCAGTGTGATTGCAGAGGAGATCGGCAAACTCAAAAGTAAGACCTTCGCCGTGATTATTGACGAAGCGCACTCTTCACAGAGCGGTGAATCTGCAAGGAATCTCAGGATTTCGCTCTCTCAAGGGATTGAGCTGGGCGTAACAGAAGATGATGCCGACGAAGTATCCGATATAGATGCTCGGATTATTGAGGAGATGGAACAGCGCAGAATGCAGGATCATATCTCCTATTTCGGTTTCAGCGGCACACCGAAAAACAAGACCTTAGAACTGTTCGGACGGAAGGACGCAGAAGGAAAATTTATCCCTTTCCACGTTTATTCAATGCACCAAAGCATCAGCGAAGGCTTTACACTGGACGTGCTGCAGAACTATACCACCTTTAAGAGATATTTTGAGTTGGTCAAAAGTGTGCCGGAGGATAACGAGTACGAGAAGGCGAGGACGCTCCGGACACTGACCAATTACGTTGACCTGCAGCACCACAGCATTGAGATCAAGACCCGGATTATGTTAGAACACTTCACCGCACGCACCGCAAAGACGATTGAAGGGAAAGGGCGGGCGATGTTAGTCACGCCATCCCGACTGCACTGCGTCAGATACAAGTTAGAGTTTGATAAGCAGATGAAGGAAATGGGGCTGTCCTACGGGTGTCTGGTAGCGTTCAGTGACACTGTCCACGACACCGACAACGGGCAGGACTATACGGAGAATGGAATGAATGCGTTACCCCCAAGCACTTCAATTGCGGACAGTTTCAAGGATCCGCAGTATCGGATTCTAATTGTCGCGAGCAAGTTCCAGACCGGTTTTGATGAGCCGATGCTACAGACGATGTACGTCGATAAGCGATTAGACGGGCTGCAATGTGTCCAAACCTTGAGCCGCCTGAACCGCGTCGCCACCGGCAAAACCGATACGCTGGTACTCGACTTTGTGAATGAACCCGAGCAGGTACAAGAAGCTTTTCAGCAATACTATCAGACCACGACGCTTGCACAGGAGACCGACCCGAATCGGTTGTATGACCTACAGAGCCAGTTGGACGGTTTTGATCTCTATGACGAGGAGACCATTGAGGAATTCTGCAGTATCTTTTACGAATCAAGTCGACCGGATGAATTGCTACAGGGCATTCTTGATGGCGTTGTTGAGAGGTGGTCAGCACTTGAAACAGATGACAAGGAGGAGTTTCGTTCTACCTTACAAAGTTATATTCGCCTCTACGGATACATTTCACAGTTGATTACCTTCACCGATGTAGCGTTGGAAAAGTTGTACGTTTTCGGTCGTAGTTTAAACAAGAAGCTCCCGAAACGGGATCACCCTGACCTGCAAGATGTTCAGGAATCTGTGGACTTGGATTCGTTTCGTGTACAGAAAATGCATGACAGTCTACAACTCTCCCTTGAAGCGGAGGATAGCGAGGTCGAAGGGATCGGCAGCGATATCGCTACCGTGAGAGAGCCTGAGCAGGATTTCCTCTCCAATATCATTAACGTTCTGAACAATGCCCATCAGACAGATTTCACAACAGAAGATAAGGTTGACATTGCGACCATTCACCAAAAAGTGCACGAAAACGAAGAACTCCGACAGGTGATCGAAGGCGATAATACGGAGACCAATAAATGGTATAAGTTTGAGCAGGTGGTTGAGGACATTTTATTAGGTTTCGTCAATAGTAAATTGGAGCTCTTCACGAAATTATCGCAACCGGAAGTCAAGGCGGATCTCAAGCGTCAACTCTATCAAGCCTATCTTGAGCAACCGTCCTCGCGGGCTTAGCTACTTTTTATTCCTACCCCATCAGTCAATCCTACATGTTCTTCAATGCTCGAACCGAATTCCACAAAGGCCCGCAAAAAAGTGTTTATTGTGCACGGGCACGACCATGTAGCTAGAGATACCGTAGCAAAATTTGTCAATAACTGGGGCTTAACAGCACAGGGCTATTTATAGTAAAGTTTAGAATACTAGGACACCCTGTGCCGTTCGTGTAGGAAACGACCTACGGGGGATGAAGTGTCTCGTTATTTTACGATCCTATAGTTTTCGTTTTTCTGCCCGATTTTTTGGACTCATGGGCCCGTAGGCGCGGTTTGGAACCGCGCCGGACTTGAAAAAGAGGATCCAAAAATTTAGACAATCCGAGAATTTGTTTAAAACTAAATGCCCCTGCTTCAAGGGATTAGGGCGGCAGCGCGTATGCATTCTTCTCAAAGGAAACATTGAGTTACCATCAGATATCCAAGGTGTGGTTTATATCCCCATGGACGATACTGGTAACTGGCAACAGACAATAATTAGAGAAATGCAAGCTGCGAGGCTTTTCGCTGAAATGAACACAAAATTTAATTAACACTCTCTTACCACGCCGAAAGGAACCCTTGTGCCCACACTTGAATTCAAAGGAAAACAACACATCTACGCCCACCACCTCACCATCCGTACCGATTTAGTTATTCTAAAAATAACTTATAGTTAACAATTTCCCTGTTCGACAATGCCTACCGCATTAGTGTCTTATACCAAATTAACCCCATTTGTAGCGCGAGGTCCCTGTGCCTCGCAACGCTGCCTTGATCAAAAAACTTCTAATCACGTTAATGGGGTATTAATCATCTTTTAAGGAATCATACGCTACTCTGAAATTCGCGCGTTTTTTCAGAGTAGCGTTTTGTTGAGAAATGTCCAAAATGCACGGCTCACCTCGTCCCTTGCGTGTTTTTCTCATACCTATTTTTCTGATTTTACTCTGAATACTCTGAAATTCGCGCGTTTTTTCACAGTTCTCCAAACCGTATCCGCTAATATATTTCATCTGCCACTTCAAATCAGAGGAACCCAATTCAAGAGCGTAATAGATCTTTTTTACTGTTCACTTTGCGTTCACATCGCGCGCAATATTCCCAATTGACATGATTCCCATTATAACGCCATGTCCCTATATCAGACTCGCGTCAACATATTTTTTGCAGGTGACACCCAGGTGACATAATGCTCGACAAAAAACCCTTCTCATAAGCACAGGGCTATTTATAGTAAAGTTTAGAATTAATAGGACACTCTGTGCCGGTTCGGTTAGGAATGCAGATCGCATTTGGGTGAGTACACCGCAAAACCGAACCTACCAGGGGATGAAAGTGTCTATTTATTTTTAGGTTTTACTATAGTTTTCGGTCCCGATTTTGGTTTTAGTTTATGGATGTTAACGTTTTTATGAAATACAGCGTGGAAATTGAGCCATATCTCGTAAAAATTGTTCACACATATAAAGTAAATATGTAAAACTAAATGCCCCTGTACTAATACCCATTTCCCCTTGACTGTTTTTGCCAAAGGCGTTATGATTGCTGCATTAGTACATATAATGAAAAAGGAGAACTCTTATGCAAGAACTCCAGGAATTGATTACACGGCAACCCTACACGCATCTCATCACTCCCAAAAGAGTGCTGATTGTGATTCTCGGCATTATAATCCTCGCGTGCTTAGCGACGAGTTATTATACGGTTGAGGCAGACGAGATCGCTGTTGTTCTGATGTTCGGCAAATCTGTCCGGCAAGCCGAGCCAGGACTCCACTTCAAATTGCCATTCGGCATTGAGAGAGCCATTAACGTTCCGGTTCGGAAGGTCTTCAAAGAGGAATTCGGTTTTCGGACCCTTAGAGCTGGCGTACGTACGCAGTATGACACCCGCGATTTCGCGGAGGAATCCCTCCTCTTAACGGGTGACCTGAATATCGCCGATGTGGAATGGGTGGTTCAGTATAAAATCAAAGACCCAAAAAATTTCCTGTTCTCTGTCCGGAACCCGCAGCGCACTTTACGCGATCTCACAGAATCGGTGATGAGTCGCATCATTGGAGATCGGACTGTCAGCGAAGTGCTGACGATCGGTCGTATCGAGATTGCCGCAGAAGTTGAAGAACATCTGCAACAACTCCTCGATCTGTACCAGACAGGTTTGGATGTGGCCGGTGTGACGTTGCAGGATGTGAATCCGCCGGAGGAGGTAAAGGCTGCCTTTAACGCTGTTAACGAGGCGAAGCAGGAGAAGGAGCGGTTGATCAATGAGGCGTGGCGCGATTACAACCAATCTGTTCCGAAATCCAAAGGGTTAGCATTACAAATGATTTCGGAGGCACAAGGTTACGCACTCAAACGTGTTAACGAGGCACAAGGCGATGCGGATCGGTTCAAAGCGATTCGCACAGAATATCAGAAAGCGAAAGAGGTCACCCGCCGCCGCCTCTATCTCGAAGCGATGCAAGAGTTTTTGCCGCAGCTCAAGGAGATTTATATTATTGACGGGAACACCAACTCACCTATCCCAATTCTGCAACTGAAAGAGTAGCGGATCTACAAAAGGAGTATTCTGATGAAATCGAAAAAGATACTGATACCCGTGATTATCGTTGTGATTTTAGCACTGCCAGTTGCTGCAGGGATGTTCTATGTCGTCTATGAAGGTGAGCAGGTGGTCATTACCGAATTCGGTCGTCCTATCGGGCAGCCTGTTATCACCGCCGGATTAAAAATGAAGACCCCTTTTATTCAGCAGGTGCATCGCTTTGAGAAACGTATCCTTGAATGGGACGGGTCGCCGAACCAGATTCCGACAAAGGACAAGAAATTCATCTGGCTTGATACCACAGCACGGTGGCGTATTAAAGATGCGCTCAAATTCTATCAAGCACTCGGAACAGAAGAATTCGCACAGTCCCGCTTGGATGACATTATCGATTCCGCTGCGCGGGATTTAGTGACGGCACAACTCTTGATTGAAGTCGTGCGGGATTCAAATCGGATCTTGACCCTCAATCTGGAAGTACTCGAAGAAGAGGAGGGACAAGCTGGTGAACCGTTGGAAGAGATTCAGATCGGTAGGGAACGGATTACGCGTATGATGCTTGAGAAGGTACAGGCAACTGTTCCGCAATTCGGCATCGAACTCGTCGATATTCAGATAAAACGGATCAATTATGTAGACGAAGTCCGCAAGAAGGTCTTTGATCGTATGGTTTCTGAACGTCAACGTATCTCTGAGAAGTACAAATCAGAGGGAGAAGGTGAAGCCGCGGACATCATGGGGCAGAAACAGAAGGAGTTAGAACGGATCCAATCGGAAGCCTATAAGGAAGCAGAGCAGCTTAAGGGGGACGCCGATGCCGAAGCAATCCAGATCTACGCCGAAGCGCACGGTCAAGACCCAGAGTTTTTCGCCTTTACGCAAACCTTAGAGACGTATCGAAAAACAGCCAATGCCAGTACGAAACTTATTCTCACAACAGATAGTGATCTCTATAGGTATCTCAAAAACAGTGACGTGATTAGGCGTTGAGCATCACATTTTGAAGCGTGGGGAGTTGGAGTTCCCTCTACAGCGATAGTAATACCAAATTAACCCCATTTGTAGCGCGAGGTCCCTGTGCCTCGCAATGCTGACTTGATCAAAAGACTTCTAATCAAGTTAATTGGGTATAAGGAGTCGGGAATCGGAGTTCCCTCCTACAAAGGCTATCAGCAGTCAAGGGTTTGTAGTCGTGCGATTTTGCGGCGTAAAGTTTCCCCACGGACTCTCACTGCGAGGCAACACGCGCATTCCGTGTTGATTCATGCGATCTGCATTCCTAACCTCGTCAACTCGCGTGTAAAGGTAATTATAACGTGAGTTCGATAATAAAAATTGAAGGGACCCCGTAGGTTGGGTAGAACGCGTGAATGACCAATAACCCTTCAGTTTACCAAGAAAAGTCTGCTTTTTGATGACACATTCATGGAAATAGACATAGCGAAACCCAACAATCCAACGCTGCCCGTGTGAGAATGTGTCGGGTTTCCAACTATACGCTTATGTCGAACTCACGTTAATTATAGGCTCTACTATATGCAAAATCCTTGAGGTTAAAGTGTGAGACGAATTCGCTATAGCGTCGCCATAAGCCTCGACGGCTATATCGCTGGACCCGGTGGAGAGTTTGACTGGCTTATTATGGACCCCGATATTAACTTCGCCGAGATGACCGAGCAGTTCGACACCTATCTGCTGGGTCGACGGACGTTCGAGGTCACGCGCAGCCACGGACAAGCGACAATGCCCGGCGTACGAACATTCGTGTTCTCGCGAACGTTACGGCAGAGCGACTACGACGATGTCACAATCGTCGGCGAAAACTGGAGGCAGGTGGTGCAGTCGCTCCGAGAGGAAGATGGAAAGGACATCTGGCTGTTTGGCGGGGGTTCCCTTTTTCGCAGCCTTGCCGAAGAAGGGTTCGTTGATACAGTGGAGGTCGCTATCATCCCGACCATACTCGGAGGCGGGATTCCGCTCGTTGCCGACCGTCCGCGCGAATCTCGTTGACATTGAAGGAGCACACGGTGTACGAGAAAACCGGTACCGTCGGGTTGGTATACACCGTAAACAATACCGCTCAGCTGTGAGAGCAGGGCTATTTAGTTTTCGGTTTTTAGCCCGATTTTGGACCCCCCAGGCCCGGTAGGCGCGGTTTGGAACCGCGCCGGACTTGAAAAAGAGAATCCAAAAATTTAGACAATCCGAGAATTTGTTTAAAACTAAATGCCCCTGGCTGTGAGAGAGGAATTAGTACTCAGTTGTCAGTACGATTTTTCTGCGAAAAATCTTTCAGTATTCAGTATTCAGTTTGTCAGTTAAGAGACAATTTGTAGCGTGTGCTTTTCTCGTAACTGCTACAAGAATATGACTGAGTACTGATAACTGAGTACTGACAACCACTCCTCTGACAACTAAACCCCGTGAAGCATCAACTCTCTCCCCTCAGCTTGAAAGCGGTTTGCATCGGGCTCCTGCTGATCCCCGTAAATGCAATGTGGCAGATGATGGGGCTGCGCTGGGACATCGCACACATGTCGATGATCTCTCTGCTCTATAACACCGTCACACTGCTGTTCGTGCTGACGATCGTAAACCGGTTCGCGAAAAAAATCTCACCGCAATTCTCTCTCTCCGCTGCCGAACTCCTGACCATCTATGTCATGCTGTGCCTCTCAACCGCTATCGGTGGGCACATGTGCGTGCAGATCCTCCTCCCCATTATCAGTTACGCCTTCGCTTATGCAACACCAGAGAACGATTGGCAATCCCTATTTTGGCACTATATCCCGTCATGGACATCGGTGAACGATAAGCGCGGACTGGCAAATTTCTTTGATGGCGGTTCCACGTTCTACCCGCACCTTGACGCATGGGGCACGCCATTGTTATTGTGGGGACTCTTTCTCGCTGCGCTGTTCTCGGTGATGCTCAGTATCAACTTCATCTTCCGAAGGCAGTGGACCGAGAATGAGAAGTTGAGTTATCCGCTGATCCAATTACCACTGGCGATGGCGAATCCCGAGGAGCGGGTTTTTCCGCAGCAAGGCGATGTGGATCGGGTTCGGCATTGCCGCGAGCATCGATCTGCTCAACGGGATTAATTATCTGTTTCCGCAGGTGCCGCGGCTCAGTGGTATCCGTGCGTATGACATCGCCGATTTCTTTACAGTCCGTCCGTGGAACGCGATTACATGGTTCCCAATCGGTATCTATCCGTTCGCCGTTGGACTGGCGTTTTTCATGCCGCTGGAATTGTCATTTTCCTGTTGGTTCTTTTATCTCTATTGGCAAGCACTCCGTGTGTTAGGCAGCGCTGTCGGTCTGTCGTCGCCGTTCCCGTATGCAGAGGAACAATCTTTCGGGGCATATCTCGGTATCGGCATAGTCGCAGTTTGGAGTGCACGCCGATACTTGACGCAAGTTTTACGCAAGCTGCTTGGCGCGCGGTCAACACTTGATAGTCAAGATGAACCGATCTCTTATCGTACATCGGTGGTATGGATGGTGCTGAGTGTGGTGTTTTTGGTTGGGTTCTGCTACAAACTTGGGATGTCGTTGTGGGTCATCGCGACCTTCTTCGGACTGTTCTTCGGGTTAGCGACCGGTATTACACGGATGCGCGCTGAACTCGGTTCACCCGTCCACGACCAGCACTATGCCGGTCCCGACAGGATGATGTATTCGGTATTCGGGGCGAAACGGCTCGGTGCAAGCAACCTGACGGGCTTAGCGTATCTCTACTTTTTCAATCGTGCGTACGATTGTCTGTTAATGCCGCATCATCTGGAAGGTTTAAAAATAGCCGAGCGTGCCAACATCGAAAACAAGACCTTTTGCGAAAGCGGTGATTATCGCGATCGGTGTCAGCATTGTTGCCACAATCTGGGCATATCTGCATGTCTCGTATCAAGATGGAGTCTATACGGCGTGGGCAGGCAGGGAGACCTTCAGTCGGCTTGGTAGAAGACTGGTCCAACCCGCAGGTCCCGATACCGCGGTGCTTGGTGCAATCAGTGTTGGAACAGTTGTTGCAATTCTCTTGGCGTTTCTACGCGGGAGAGTGGATGTGGCTGCCGTTCCATTCGGCAGGTTATGCCGTTACGAGCACCTTCACGATGAATTTCTTCTGGTTCTCGATCCTTGTGAGTTTCATCCTGAAATGGATTATTACGAAACATGGCGGGATTGGCGGTTTTCGCAAAGCGGCACCGTTCTTTCTCGGTCTCGTACTCGGTGAGTTCGTCGTGACGACCTTCTGGGGACAGTATCAATTTTGTTCCGATTGGAGACGTATATTACGATTAATTTGTAGAAATCAGTTATCAGTACGATTTTTCTGCGAAAAATCTTTCAGTACTCAGTTGTCAGGTAAGAGACAATTTGTGGCGGGCGATTTTCTCGTAACTGCCACAAGAATATGACTGAGTACCGAGTACTGACAACTGAAAACTGACAACTAAAAATCTAATCTATTTCCCATTCCTGCAAACCGAGCGGTAACGCGTCAGGACGTTCCGTCGTGCTTTCGATAACGACGTGTTCGCCGGTTTCGGAGGATTTGTCGAAGGCAAGCATCACCTCAAGCACATGATATGCCAATGCGCCGTTCGCTCGGTGCGTCCGTCCCGAAAGGATTGCCGATACCATATCAATGACACCGATCATTCGAGCGTTGTTCGGGAAAGGGATTTCCTGCTCTTCCCAATTGCCGCCTGCTGGACACACATTTACGGGACCGCCAAATCCGTTGGGGTCGGGGACCGTCATTGACCGGTTTCACCGTAGATTTCGATGCAAGGGAGACTATGCCGCCACATATCGAAACTCATAATCATTGTAATGATCGCGCCGTTCTGAAATTCGATTGTACCGGTAAGGTGCGTCGTAATTTCGACAGGAATACGTAAACCGTCCAAGGCTTGGCTCGTTGCGATGCGTTCTTCAAACGCCTTCGTCGTAATTGCCGCCACTCGTTTGACAGGACCGAGGATATTAACAAGCGCGGTCACATAATAAGGTCCCATATCCAACATCGGACCGCCACCAATATCGTAAAAGAAAGCAGGATTCGGGTGCCAACCTTCGGGCCCGTGCCCACACATAAACGCACTGCCTGCGATGGGTCTGCCGATTTTCCCCGCATCCAGTGTTTGCCGAGAGGTCTGGATGCCTGCGCCGAGGAAGGTATCTGGTGCCGATCCAACGCGGAGACCTTTTTCTGCTGCGGTGGTGATCAGTTGCTTTCCGCTTTCGGTATCTACCCCAAGTGGCTTCTCGCTATAGACATGCTTGCCTGCTTCCAAGACCTGTAGACCGACTTCGACGTGCGCCCTCGGAATCGTGAGGTTCACGACGAGTTCAATCTCAGGGTCTGAGAGCAATTCATCGACAGTACAAGCATGAGAGTTGTACCTTTTGGCTTGTGCCTGCGCCGCTTCCAGACGGAGGTCAGCACAGGCTTTGATTTCCAAAATGTCAGTTTTTCGTGCACCCTCAAAATAAGCACTGCTGATTGTTCCACAACCGATAATTCCAATTTTCATATTTAATTGCCTTTCAGGTGTTTTATCTACGAAATTGTGATTGTTCCACAAACCGATATTCAATTGTCCATTATTTAATGCCTTTCAGGTGTTTTATCTACGAAATGATGAATTAAATCTGTGTGTATTATATCAGTTATCCGGGATATTGGCAAGATTTTATAGAGCGACATCAGAGCCATTCAGTTCTCGGTTTTTTCGTCCAATTTTAGATCCCCAGGCCCGGTAGGGTTTTGCTGTGTGTTGTTTTTTGCTTGGTATTTTTGCTGCTGATGATATGTGGTGTTTTCTCTGCGATTTCTTCACGGTTTGGAACCAGGGCTCCCACCCGTTATCTCGGGAAGGGACACCGGGAAACCTGAAAAAGAAGATTCAAAAGTTGAGACATCTATGATAATGTCTAAAAACTTAGTATCGTAAAAAACTAAAGCGACCGTTCATCCCCGGTAGGCTGCTGTGGGTGCTTCGGTCAAAAAGGAGTTGGCAATTGCCTATAAGTGTAGTATAATCTGATATTGAACCGCTCCTGCACGACACAAAACTGCCCGGCGGTAGTCCGCATGAACAGCAAAAGCATCGGAGACCCGCTCGAGTATTTTACGATCAGAAAAGCTGGAGACATCACCAAATCCAACTCGGAACGTGGCCACGATTCTCTCTGATCACAACTCCTTGATTTTGAAGTTCGAAAAAGAAAAGGAGTCTAGTGTCTGAGACACCCTTCCTGCGTAGTGTGGAGAACGAGAAACATGGTATATGAGAACGATGCGTTGCTGTACGTATTAACGTAGAGGATTTAACACGGTTCGGCTCTCTTTTCGTTACAATGATATGAGGAAGCATAGAGAATTGATGCTTGAGAATTCCACAATGTCTCAATGCGAAGAAGATTCTGTGAGATTTGGAATATAGAAATGTAAGGCCATCCCAGACACCCACTTCTCGCACGAGATTGTTGAGGCGTGGACTGGACACCCGCCGCGTAGATACGATTCTTTTCGATGAGTCTTCTCTATGACCTTTTTAGAGGGCGCTTAACCTATCCAATTTATCTAAACTCCGATGTTCGCAAAGTCGAACGTTCACGACGATTTCAAAATGTTTGGCAAACCGAAAAACAGCAGAAAGCTGCAGAGCCGCAGGCACGTGCGTGAGAGAAAGAAAAAATCACCCCGACACGGCTCATCTCTGAACGTGGCTGGACAAAGGTCTCATAGCGATTGTTAGGCGAACCAGATGTTTTTGTGGATAACCCGCATAAATCTGCGGCTCCCATGCGCTTGTAACTTCTTGATCTTGTTAAACATATTGAACAGACAAGCGATGTGTTTAAATCTCGCGGCGAAGATCGGCAAAATCCACCATCAGAAGACTCAGCGAATTCCCCCCAACATTTAATGAAACAGGACTTCCGCAAACTGAGCAAAATATCCGGCTTATAGACACAAAAAAGCGAGATTTTTCCACATTTTTAACCCCTTAAATCCCCTTATCAGGGGGGACTTTGAGGGAAAGTGCGTAAATCCTATACCCTAAAAAACCATAATTTACCAAAAAAGCAATTGACAAACTGCAGATTTGTTGCTATGATATTTGGCAATTCAGGCGAAATTGGTTGCCGATGCAACGAAGCATCGGCTAAGCGTCAGATCCAACACCTCTACAGCACCTTAGAAGGAGAGAGTAGTATGGAAACGAATTGTAAATCGTAATCTCAAGATAGATGAGATTTGTACGCATTGATAGAGATGAAATTGCCACCCTGCACAGGCATAGAAGCAGATGCCTTCTGGAAAGCGTTCGGCGACATCGTTTCGGCATTCGCACCAGAAAACAAGGCACTCTTGGAGAAACGGGATGCGCTGCAACAGCAAATTGACGCGTGGCATCTCGCGCGCAAGATGCACCGCTTGATGGTGAGCGTCGATTCCGGCGTTCCTTACGGATGATCCGGATTATCTACTACTTCCTGAAGGACGAGATTTTACTGTGATTACCGAGGATGTTGACGTAGAGATTATCGCTGATCGTCAGCAGGACCACAATTGGTTGTAGCCGACCGATACGCGCGCTATGCATGCCCTAAATGCAGCAGCAAACGCGCGCTGGGCGAGCCTCTACGATGCACTCTACGGCACCGATGTGATTGATGAATCGGATGGGGCTACGCGGAGTGCTATCTATAACCCGATCCGAGGTGCGAAAGTCATCGCATACACCGAGCAATTTTTAGATGAAATGACCGGGCTTGAAACTGGGAGTTTCTCTGACGTTACGCAATTTTCCCTCAAAGCCGTTCAGGGTGAGCAACATTATCGCGCGGACACTCAGTCGCTGGCAGTGAGTCGGTTTAGCGAGATCCAGCCAATAATTCGCTGGCTTAGCGAGAACCACGGCTGCACGTCAATACCTTTTACTACTTCAAAACCATGGGCTGCACATTGAAATACACGATAGTCGCAGAACATCCCGTCGAAAGAAAGCGCACACACCGCCGGTGTAGCCGATGTCGTCCTTGAGTCCGCAATCACAACAATCCAGGATTGTGAGGATTCCGTTGCTGCGGTGGATGCAGCGGATAAAGTGCGCGTCTATAGCAACTGGAACGGTATTATGAAGGGGACGTTGGAGACAACGTTTGAGAAAAATGGTAAAATGCTGACCCGCCGCCTTGCACCGGATAAGACGTTTACCGCTCCTGATGGCAGCACATGGACGTTACCCGGTAGGAGCCTCCTCCTCATTCGGAATGTTGGACTTCACATGTACACGGATGCCGTCACGACAACAGACGGTGAGGAGATTCCAGAAGGCATCCTTGATGCGATGGTAACCAGCTTCGCCGCGATGCATGATCTACGAGGCAACGGTTCGGGCACCAATAGTAAAACGGGTAGTATTTATATCGTCAAACCGAAGTTCCACGGACCCGAAGAAGTCGATATGACGGTTCGATTGTTTGAATGGATAGAGTCTGCGCTTGGACTCCTGACGAATACTATTAAGATCGGGATTATGGATGAGGAACGGCGGACGACCATCAATCTCAAAGAGGCGATTCGGATGGCGAGGGAACGACTCGTCTTTATTAACACCGGATTTTTAGATAGAACCGGTGATGAAATCCATACGAGCATGGAAGCGGGACCGATGATTCCGAAAATGGACATTCGCAACGAACCGTGGATGCTCGCTTATGAAGATTGGAACGTCGATATCGGAATTGAAACCGCTTTGCTCGGCACCGCACAGATCGGGAAGGGGATGTGGACGAAACCTGACCACATGGCAGAGATGGTTGAAACAAAGGTGAATCATCCATTGGCGGGTGCAACGACGGCGTGGGTGCCGTCGCCGACAGCTGCAACGCTTCATGCGATGCACTACCACCGGGTTGATGTTGGAAATTGGATAAAAGAATTGGCGGCGAGGCAGCGCGCGAGTTTAGCGGATCTGTTGACACCGCCTCTGTTGAAGGACCGCGAGTTACAACCCGATGAGATTCACCGCGAGTTAGATAACAATGCACAGGGGATCTTGGGCTACGTCGTGCGATGGGTGGATCAGGGGATCGGTTGCTCGAAGATACCGATATTAACAACGTCGGTTTGATGGAGGATCGGGCGACGCTGCGGATTTCGAGTCAGCATATCGCAAATTGGCTCCACCACGGGATTGTCACGAAGGCACAAGTAACCGAGACATTCCAACGGATGGCGAAGATCGTTGACGAACAGAACGCCGGTGACCCGAACTATCGGGATATGTCGCCAAATTATGAGCAGAGCATCGCGTTTCAAGCGGCTTTGGACCTGGTGTTTAAGGGGTGTGAAGTGCCAAACGGGTATACGGAGTTTGTGCTGCATCCGCGTCGCCGAGAGGTCAAGGCGGGCGGTTAATGAAATGATGGGATAGTAGAGAAACGAAAGAGGGGAAGGGTGGAAAATACCTCCTTCCCCTTTTCTGTTTTGAGTGCTTTTCTTATGAATCGAGTTTATAAAATTTGATGGCGTTGTCACGGAAGAGGTTCCGCAACTCCTCGGATGAGCAGCCTGATACTGCAGCTTTTAAGGTCTGCACCCAACGTGGATAATCGCTGGCTTGTGTGGAGACGGGCCAATCGCTGCCATATATAACACGATCAAAACCGAAACTGGTGATGACGTGTTCAATATAGGGTTGTAGGTCGGCAGGTGTCCACGCCTCAAGATTAGCCTCTGTTACCAAACCTGATATTTTGCAGTGAACATTCGGGAACGCCGCGAGGGTCTCGATCTCCTGTTTCCACGGGTCAAAAAGTTGATTCTTGATGTCCGGTTTGCCGATATGATCTAAGATGAATTGGACATGCGGACACTGTTCGACAAGCAGAATCGCATTGGCGAGTTGTGGGTGGAAGATACAGATGTCGAAACTCAATCCGTAACGGGAAAGTGTTTTGACACCGTTCACAAAGTCGGGTTGGACACAGAAATCGACGCTTTCGGATTGGATGAGGCGGCGGATACCTTTGACAAGCCGATTCTCTGCCAATTTTTCGACAAACGGTGCTACCTGCGGTACCTTCTTCGAGCGGTGCCCACGCAACGATCCCTTGAATCCGAGGATCTACCGCCGCGAGAGAGGTAACCCACGCAGTCTCTTTCAAGCCGTCATCAGGGTGTGTATCGCACTGGACAAAGACGATGGATTCAATTTCCAACTCACCGTACGCTGCGATATAATCTTTTAGGAGATAAGGTCTGTTTAGCGTAGCGACTTCCGCAAGCCATGGATAGCGCAACTGTTCAGGGTGCCAGAGATGAACATGCGTGTCAACAATCGGGAATTTCTCCATTGAGTCGCTCCTTTGTTGTATTTGGATTTGGGAGTATTTTAGTGCGTTTCTTGAGAATTGTCAATATTTTCTTTCGGGGTTCTACGGTCATTTAGTTCTCCAATAAAAGTGAATGCTAAATTGCGATATACCCCTGTAGAAGCACTCTCCGAATCGCGACCACCAAAATGGCTAAAAGCCTAAAACTAAATGACCCTATAGGGTGGGTGTGTAAATATTTTGTCAAAATCTTGCGTCATCATCGGGGTTTCAAACCCTTCCCACAAGGATTGGAACCGTTTTGGGTATCTAATAGCAAATTAGCCAAATTCAGATTGTTTCCCGTCCAGATGAGATTAACAAATAAATGGGTATTGGGGCCGATCGGTGGTCTCTACCGCCCGGCCACAGGAAACCGCGTTTAAATACTTAACCATGCGGAGCGGTATTGCTTCGCAGTGAGAATAGCAGGCGTGGTATTTAGAGTCTTCCGCTCCAGATGAAGATTAAAAAATAGATTAGGTAATTCCGATTCGAGTTCCAACCCTGGTAGGTGCGGTTTTGCGGTGTACCATAGGTGTCAATTTAAGAAAAATAATAGCCTCGGTCCCCAGGTCCGGTAGGCGCGGTTTAAAACCGCGCCGGGTCATAGATAAAAACCTTGCGTCCCGTGAATTGCTCTTTAGTCCTATAGGGACGGCATGTTTATAGCAGCGTTTTCGAGCAAAGACCTAAGCCCTGTAAGGGCGGCATGTTTATATCTACAGTTACCAAAACGCTGTCAAAAATCGCTAAATTGACACCTATGGTGCGGTTTTGCGGTGTACCATAGGTGTCAATTTAAGAAAAATAATAGCCTCGGTCCCCAGGTCCGGTAGGCGCGGTTTAAAACCGCGCCGGGTCTTGGGCACAAACTTTGTATAACCCAAATCGCTCTTGAGTCCCGTAGGGACGGCATCTGTAGAAACTAAAGACCTAAGCCCCAGAGGGACGGCATCTGTGTAGAAACTGCATCAACCAAAGACCTAAGCCCCAGAGGGATGGCATCTGTAGAGACGCTCCTACAAAATACAGCGAAATATCCCTAAATTGACACCTATGGTGCGGTTTTGCGGTGTACTCACCCAAATTTGGTTTCCCACACGCGGAAACCCAATTTTGCTTCGCAGTGAGAATGCTTTACATTTGCGATCTGCATTCCTAACCGACCGGAC